CAAGAACTTCTAGGACAGGAGAGAAACCTTGGCTCATTAGACCAAATGTCCATCTAGCTGGGCATCCTGCCTCCAACAGCCGCTGATGCTGTTGGAGGAGAGTAAGAATTGGATGAGCATGCAGGGATGCTTCCTTAGGAAAAAAATCAGAGTATTCTGATTTGTGATGTGGAAATTTTTGAACTTACATCTCTAGGTGGCTTTTTTTTCCTATGAATTTGATTGGCTGCTTTTGGGCCCATATAAATGATCTGACATGAGTGCATTCTCTTTTTTTGTGAATAGATAAGCATGTGTTTATCAGAGAAGACAAGGTCGAGGAAATGCCCTCTGAGCTTGACTTTAGTGAGGTTTGTGAGGCTTGGTTCTGAGAGGGGTTGATTTTTAAGTCTTTGACCTGCCCCTGAGAAAATCTGTCTCCTTGTTGTCATTAAGCAGCTGAGCCTAGACTGAGTAATTTATCATGCAGTTTGTAACAGAAAGCGTAAGCAGCACATTCCCTTTGCAGATGCTCTTTCATGTTTCGTGTGTATCAAGTATTTTTTCCAAATCCTTTTATTGTTTGGGGATAGTGGCAGACCCATTGGGAAAGGGGTTGGAATATCATACATTTTTAGAATTCATTTGCTAATATGTATTATAAGTTGGAACCTAGAAGAGAATGTTAGTGATTGAAAAGACCTTAATAAATTCTTTAAGGTCTTTTATATATACATGCATGGAGGTAATGGCATTTATTATAAGTTGGAACCTAGAAGAGAATGTTAGTGATTGAAAAGACCTTAATAAATTCTTTAAGGTAATATACATGCATGGAGGCAATGGCATTTGTCAAGAGTAAAGTGCTGGGCTGGCCGTTAGATGCATGTCACATGCTCTCTTGTAATCCAGATTCCTTTCCCAGAGGGGAAGAGAAAGGGAATAAGGGAGAGAGATGTATGGATTGGAAAACTAAAACAGCTTTAATGAAAACAAGAACAGTAAAAGAAACATGTACAGCTACACTCAAACCCACTATCAAACCCAGCCCCTCAATGGGAATTATGTCAACTCACCACTGGTGCTGCAGGGCAGGCACTGGGGAAGTCCCAGCCTGAACTCTGTGGTAGACAGGAGCTGGATTCTGGATCTGGATTCAGGAATGCACAGATTGGGACCAAAAGCAGAATGAACAGTCCTCAGACATGGCCATTGAAGCAGAGCTCTTAACCCTTGTAGTCGCTCAGCTTTATACTGAATATGATGGATATGGGATGGGATCTCTCCTTGGTCAGTATAAGGTCACCTGTCCTGTCCACTCCTCCCTGCAGATGGGGCTTTTCACTTCACAGCTCCCCAACATGGTACCCAAGATTGAGCAGTGACCTTGGTGTCTATAGGAGCAAGTATAAGCAGGAGCCTTTCTGCACACCAGTCCTTAGCAGTAACTGGAAACATCAAGTGTTATCAGTTCTAGAAGCAGTCATTGTCTGCAAAAACATGCCATTATCTTCAGAAAGCATAGTTACTTAGAAGAGACTTAGTGGATAGTGAAATCACTGAACAGAATTAGTTCTAAGTCAAACCAGGACAGCGTTAGTGGACAAACAGGATATCAAAAGAAGCGTGTTTATTACAGCATGTTCTTAGGTTTTTTTATTATATCATTAATATCAGTGTCTCCAGATCTCTGCTGCTGTGCTGCCACAAGGTTATTTGTGACCAAAAATCTTAAGGAAAAATTGCTTGTAAGTGGAATTATTGAACCTACTTAGCTGTTTTGTCAAAGTTGATTCTTTCTTCTCCTTTTATTCCCTTCAGTGCTGTTGGTCTTTTTTTGTAGTTTATATTTGAGGCAAGCTGAGAACTCATCTTGCAGGAAGCAAAAAAATCTGCTTTTACTCACAGTTTGCCAGGATCTAGGATGCTGTTTTCTGCTATGGTTTACAGCAAGTTTTTTTGGTAATACTTGTGAGTTACCGAGGTGTGATCTAATATTTATCTTCCTCTGAAGTAGCCCTAGGGCTGTCTGATTCCTGAAGTTCACAGATAGTGTAAGAAGACACAAAACCAAATAATCTTCAAAATATTAGAGGCATCTTTTATGCAGGTTAAGCAAAATGGAGTGGTATCAAACTTACCATTATACATATACATTATTTTATTACCTTATACAAACTTACTATTAGTGGTTGTTGGTAATCAGCCTGCATAAAGCCTGCTTTCAGCAAAATTCAGTATGAATCTTTTTCTAGGCCATAAAATAAAATCCTTTCTATATAAGATTTTAATTTTCTCAGTTAGTAGCTATGTGTGTTTTGGTAACTGACTGGAAGTGTGTGGTGGCTTTTATGACTGGGTGTATTTTAACCATGGAGGAATGCTTTTTACAAAGGCAAAATGAAGGTAAGGCCACAGAGCAGAGTAGGCACAAAGTCTCTCAGTGTGAAAAGCAGCAGAGTGATCCTCATTTCTGGCTGGGGTTATTTCCTCCCCTGCAAGACATTTCTCTTGCCTCTGTGTGTGCTCTCTAGTCATCTTGGTGCTTTGCTGCCATCTCGGATTGACCTTTCTTATGGTCAGATTTTTTTTTTTTCTTTGCTGCTGTGTTGTCTGTCTGTTATCAGCAATGTCTCCACCATTGTAATCATCTTGACTCCATCCTATCCTTTTCACATTTCATTCTTGTCACTTTGTCTTAAAGTCAGCGTGACATCTGCCATCTTATAAAGAACTCGGCTCCGTAGCCGGCAGGCTTCTGATGTGTTTCATTAAGTTCAGCTGCCTTCCAAACACATGATCTTATTATAGACTGATTAGATGAACTGCACTTTGGTACCAAATGTGACGTTTTCATCTGGTTCTAATTTTGTCAGAATTTTTGTGGTGCTTGAGGCCAAAACTTGACTCACTCTGACCTCATCTCACTGGATCTGTTGGCATTGACTGCTCTCCTTTGGTACTATACAGTCTCCTTACTCTGTGATTCTTGGTACTTTCCTCTATTGGGATTAAGTGATCTTATTGTACAGCTATTTAGAGTACAGCTCAAAGCACTGGGTTTGGGTATTTTTTTGGTATATCACAGCTCCCTGTTCTTTTCTCTCAACTGCTTCTTGCTCCCCTGTAGCTGTTATTATCTGTTGTGAGACCACACAAGCTGCAGTGGATTGGGGAACTTCTCCAGATTAAAAATAAGCTTGCAAAGAAAAATTTAAATACCTTTATTATGACGACACGTTTCCAGGCTAGCAGGATTATGATTAAAAAAAAGCAATTGCTTATTATACAATGTTTTCTGAATAAGCTAAGAAACATAACAGGATTGATCATCAGCATTCCATCAGTCCTGTACTCCACTTGAGAACATGAAACACTGCATCATGCATTACCTACATCTGCATCACCAGTCTTTTTTATACTGAACCTTAATGCACTGTTGTCTTAGGGTAATATTCATTAATTGTAGACATTCTAGTACCTATCAGTTTGCCTTTCAGTGAAAGTAACATGCTGAGTCAGCAATAGACTTCCTTTGGTGAGCTCTGTGCAGCTGAAGATACGTTTTTTTTCTTTTAGCACAAAGCTACATGTATCAGTTTGTTGTAATCAGCTGGAAATTTTTTTTTAATGGCTGACAGCTCAGATGCTGGTTTCAAGCCATTTGGTACAGTTACTGTTTGTGGGATTTTTTTTAACCATAAACCTCTGGACAGTAGGGTTTGCTTGAATGCCTAGAAAAGAGAACATCATTTCAGAGAGGAATTTCTTTTTTACAGGGACTAAAATTTATTCAGTACAAAAAGAAACCTGGGCACTTAATGGTAGCTCTGGAAATTGTTGATAGGTCCTGTCCCTCACCATGTTGTCAATGTGGCAGAGCTTCCCCACTTTCAATGCATTTGCCAGTCTGTGGAACAGGATTTATGCATTTTATGCATGAAATTACATGCATTAATCTAAAAAAAAGGTGAATTACTGATGGGAAGCTGCAGCGATATGAGCATAGCTATTTAGTTCCCCTGGTTAAAAATGTCTACTGCCTTTTTTAGTCTAGTTTAAATAAAGAAAATTCTAATCAGAGGAGGCCAGAGATATAAATTGCCATAGCAACATTGCTCCTGGGTGAAACATGTAATAGCATTAATCTGCAAATATACCTCTGGTGACACTTGTGTGTTCTGTGGAGATGGCCTTCTTGTCTGAACCAACTGGATGAAATAGCATCTCTGCTGCCTTCTTCACATCATCAGTTTCCTTCTGGTGTAGTTTGTTATGTGGATATGCTATATTTCTATTAGTTGGGCAAATAGTGTGAAGTTAACTACTAAATGCATACTCCCAAAGTCATGCTGTCATATATTGGTGAAACATCTTAAGACAGTGGATGTCCTGTAGACAGCCATGGAGTGAGGAGGCCTGACCAAAGCCTGAGCTCTGTGATGAGGCTGTTGGAAGTGTCTTACATGCCATCCTCTTTCCATTACTGTGCATCTATACAGGCAGTAAGGGGGACCTTGGTTTTTTTCAGAACATGAGAACAGCAGCATAGTTATGTTGTGAGTTAAATTCTTGTTTTGTGGGTTTTTAAAGCAGGCTAACCCTTGGATATTTTTAGGAGTGATTCAAGTTGATTGTTATTGATATTTGTCTTTCGATAAGTGCTTACAGGTAATTGCTACTCTGAGTTACTAATGAATTATTTTATATTAATGAACTGGGAATTAATACCTTACTGGTTAGAAATGTTTGCCTTTAACTCGATTTTGAAAATCCTTTTTAAAACCATGCACCTGGCTGGCTGCCTATCTGATTGCAATCATCAAGGGCACATCTCTGCACCAGATACGTATACACATAGTAGGAAATCACTTTCTTAGCAAGGCATTCCTCCTACAGTTTAAATTTCAGCAAATATCAAGCAAGAGTTAACATCTCAAGTTGGTTTTTTTTTTTTTGTTCAGCTTCAGTTCAATATAAGTTGTACTTGTACATTAATTATGAAAGCTTTTTTATTTCAGTGACAGCTGATGAGCTATGGAAAGGAGCTTTGGCAGAGACTGGTGTGGGAGTAAAGAAAGGAAGAGGAAAGAGAAGGAAGAAAAGGCTAAGGAAGAATCTCAATAGAGGCCAGGAGATTGGTGAAGGTACAAATAAGGGGCTGAAAACATGTCTTGACATTTTTGTGTATAGTGTTTCTTGATTTAATAAATTGATAAATTGCTGTTATTTTCTGTGGTGTCAGAACTGCTTGAGATTTTTTGTTGTTTTGTGTTTTTTTTTATTAATCCTGATATAATTGTTTAATGTTATTCTTGGGTTTTGAATATAAATTCAGTATCATAAAATATGCTTGAAATATATGAGAACCTTCCATTTTGCTACAGTTTTCCAGTGTACAGAGTTTCAGTCCTAATTTAGCATAAAACTTTTTTTTTCTGTTATTTTTTAAGGACGTTCTGGTTTCCTTTGGCCTGGTCTTAATGCTCCTGTGATGCAAAGTGGGAGAGTCCAGACAGTTACCCAACGAAAAAAAGAAGAACAAGAGAGAATTCAGTCTGAACTTGTTCAGCAGAGAGATACATGGGAGAAGAAAAGAAAACTAAAAGTTAAGAGAGAAGGAGGATGGAGTGGAAAGTGTTGGGGAGGTGTCCTTCTGGATCCTCCTGACCCAGGTCCTAATGGAGGTAAGAAAACTGATTTGTCTATGTTAGTCTTGCTTAGCCTTTCTGATAAGGGGCTCAGAGAAAGTGTGATCCTAACCTTTCCTAGGATTTGTAAATCAGTTTTGTACTTCTCTTTTATGTGCCTATACATGAAGCAAGGCAGCTAAATGAAAAGAAGTTGTGCTAGCACAAGTGAATTTGTTAAATCAGTGCTTAGTTTAATATAGCTGTGAGGCTATTGTATTGAATTACAGACTGTGTGATGTTATACTGTATTGCAGAGTACATGTTGTAGACTGTTACAGGAGTCTTGGAGTATGGAAATCTTTTTCAGTGTTCAACATCAACTGTCTTGAGTTTGAAATCTAGCCATGTTCTTTTTATGGTTTCTTAAAGGATAAATCAGGGGTTTTTTTCCTAGTTCAAATAATGATATATGGTTAAAGAAGATGTAGTTTGTAGCTAATAGAAGTTGTTTACTTATTTGCTGCCTAATTAAATGTCATAGTGAAATTAGAAGTCCTATACATAGAATGGATAGTTGACCTTAACTTTTTTTATGGTGCTGTTATTCAGACCACTAGACATCCCATAGTAGCTTTGTTCAACGTTTAGAAGTTTAATCCTTTTTTTTATTCTGAAGTACTTAATGATGCTTGTATTGTCATTTGTTGATTGTCATCTTTCTGTAGGCTTTCATAGTAAGATGAGCTGTGAAAGACAGTTTATGTTTTCTAGCACTGTTGTTTCAGGCTTCTTGCAGTCCTTCTAAATGTTAAGCTTGTTCATGGTTTCAGAGCTCTCTTTGCAAGCTTGGATCTTGACTTGCTGCAACATATGTTCCAGCATAAAGGGAAAATTACGTGCATGGAATCACAGTTATATTGTTTGTTCTTCTGGCAGTCACCTTTGCTCCTCATTCTGCCTGGAGCTTTGTTTAGTAATTTCTTTCTATCTGTGTATATTTTCTGGTTACATTGTGTTAGTCGTTAATTAAAAATTAAGACATGCTTTGAACCAAGCCATAGGGTAGTGATAGCATTATTTTTCTTAGATCCTTCATTAATTATGTGAAAATTGTTGTATGATCCAGTGTGATCAACTGCTTGTAGATTGAAGCCATGCTGTCATTTTTGTAGCTTTCTGCTTTACCAATTCATGCCCTTGTTGCTATCTACTACTTCTCTGGTCCCTTCCCAGGTTTTCCTTTCCTGTAGCTGGTATAGGTGATTTTGTGTCTTCTGTTGCTGTAGTGTCTGAGATACTGTTTCCCTCAGATTTACCTAGTGAATTTAAGGAGAGCTTGCCTGCCAATCTCCTTTAGTACTTCTTGTCTTCAATTTCAAGAACAAGTCATTCTATTTTAATATCATCATAATACTGCAATATACAAATGAAAGATTTCCTTTATTTACTTCTCTGTTTCATTCTATTATCTTGAAAGCAAATATCCCCTGGAAGGTATGATGTGACCCTGGACTTTGCAGGCTGTCACTGAATCTTACAACTGAAAAACAGGAGATTTGAGAAATGAATGAATTGTTCCAAATTCTCCATAAATTACTGGTGAATGTAGAGAAAGCCAAGAAAATTTCATGGTTTCATACTTTGAACACAAGAAAGACTCTGTTGTTCTTAAATTCAAATATATTTTCAAGTAGTTTATTCCACTAAAAGAAATGTCAGCAATTGGAAACAACATTTATGCATGCATGAATTTTAATATCCGATGTTTTCCTTGAGTTTGCTTTTGGCTGATACTCTTGATGTTGATTACTTGCATTAAAATTTGCTATGTGGAGGCTGTAGGAAGTTAGGTCAAGTTCTGCCAAAAAGAAGAAAGGGTACTGCAATCAAAATAGGAAAATGAAACTATCAGCTCACATTCTAAATGTGCTTGAGATAAAAACAGTTTCTGATTAATATATACTAATGTCCTTTTAATCTGATTAAAATTGCAGGGATTTTCAGGTCCCCATAGTTCTTTCAGCATCTTTTTATTTGGAGAATGAATGATTTTGCAGGGGAACTGGGAACTGGGCTGTGTGCAAAGCACTGTCAAGGTGATAGGAGAGGAAATCTGAAACCACCACACCAAATGAATCCTTTTGTCTCTAGACTGTGGCATGGCTGGATTCCCTGGTGTCCAAGCAAGAATGAGTTCTGGTTGAGATTCTGCAGTTCTGCCCTTCCTGGCAGTCTGGTATTAGATTCTCTGGTAACAAATGGGGGTTGAGCATATGCTGTAGTTTCCTCTCAGCAGCATTTCTGTTTTCTAGTGAAAACAGATACAGGAAGTGTTTGGAGACCTGGATGGTTTTAGCCTTCAACACAGGACAAATTTGTTTGCAATTGACCAGTACATTAAAAAAAAAAAAGAATCAGACTGGGGACATGCTGTGATTCTCTGTGCTCCATTCTTTCAGGGGTATCTTCTTCCATTGCATCTTTACTTGCAGTGCGAGCTAGGAGTAGAGAAAACCCAGTATTTTTCAGTTGGAAATAAAATTATTTTTCTTCTGAGTTTATGGTGTTTCTTTGAAACCAAGGAGGCCTGAGAGGGGGAACAGGGTGGCTTTTGGCATTTGTATTCTCTACTGTGAGTGAGAAGGATACTTCTTGTAGACTAACATACCTAAACTGTGCCTAGATGATCATGTTTATAATCATCTTGGAGGTCATGTGTAAATCATAAAGCAATGTTTGGTGAAGAAATGAGTCCCCAGTTCTTCACCATCATACTGTTTTCAGTTTTTGTCCAGAATTTTACTGTAGCTACACCAAATACATATTAAGTGCTCTAATTAACACCGGTCTTCTATGTTATACTACCTCTTTTTAATGAGATAAATTGGAAAAGCAGGAGTTTGGAAGGATCACTTGTCTATTTTGCTTCTACCAAGATGTTGCATTTTTCTGAGCTGTTTTCAAAGTCAGCAGTTTTTTTTTTTTTCCTCAACCAAGCTGATAATGGGATACTCCTTGTGGAAAATGTATCTGTTTTAAAACGTAGATCAATTACAAGTATTATCTCAATTGCACAAAACCAAATATTTTCCATTTATATTCAGATGTTTGTGTGTGCATCAGGTTTTGAAACGGAGAAGATGGGATCTTTTTGGCAGTAACTGTGATTTGCAGGATTTTTGCCTGCTTCTCTTTCTGCTGAGAAGTGCTCGTGGGATTGCTGAAAGCCAGCCCTAAGGGGTTTGCTTGCTGCCTTCTCTTAGAGCATGTGTCAGGGTGCAGGCCTGTGGGTAAGATCTGGGCTGCAGTTTGCAAGGGTTTGTGCTGTCTTTGGAGGCAGTACATATAGATGTCTATGTCATGCCTAGAGCTCTCCAATATTCTTCCTCCTTCCTCCCCCTCAATGCTGTAAGACATTTCAAGGAATCTTACTTCTTTCAAGTCCCTTCTAATGACAGAGCAGAAACTTCATCACGTTCTGTGCAGCGAAAAGGATGCTCAGTACTCAGAGCTGAATAAGTAATGTTCTCCTGAGCAGAGCTCTGTGTTCAGTGTGTCATTACCCTTGTGATGATTACTGCTTGAGCACAGGAGTGACACAGAAGCTCCTTTCATTTCACAATGCAAAACACCATAGCTGTTTCTAGACAGAATAAATGATGCTGTAATTGTCTTTGATTGCAACAATATTTTTTTCAGGCAGAATTTGAAATTGAAAGAGGGAAAAAAAACCCAACCTGGCTATGTGAATATTGATTATTTGAAGTGGCTATGCCTTGTTTTGTTTTTTTTTCCCTCTCTGGAATTTTACAGAAATATGTCTCAAGAAATATTTGCAATTCCTTTGAATCCCTGTTGATTGTCCAATATAGGCTTCAAAATACCCTGAACAATATTGAGTTATAGTTTGGTCATGATGTAAGTGGCCCACTTGGTAATTTACTTTTTTATTTTTTAATAATTTACAGCCTTTGTGTGATATATGAAATTTGGGTTTCATTTACAGTTTTAGAGCAGTACTTAGGAAAGAAGGCAATTTACACTGCAAGCCAGTGAAAACCCAAAACATACTGTTTTCATAACACGCTCTGCATAGTTATTTTTCATAGCATTTCTGCAGTTGGAAAGAATTAGGAAGACGTAATTTGACAAAAATACTTCAATGTAAGTGGTGAGTTGCAGTGATTTCCAAAAGGAATTTTCAGATTTAATGTGGAGAGGATGTATAGCTTAGCTTATAATCAAAATATTCAACAGATTTTGAGGTTGTCTCAGTTTTTCCTGTCAGCTTTGCTTTCTGTGTGGTGTTCAGACAAAGCATTACATTTGTATGTCTTGCTTTGCCATTTAAAAAAAAAAAATATTGTTTTTCTTTCTTTATACTACAGTTTATTTAGGTTGGACAGTCTTTGGAGTCTGTTTCCATCTGCCTTCCCTACATGTATAGTACTTAAAAAGGTGAGATAGGGATTGCAGTTGGAGTTTGGGGTCCCTAATAAAGCACAGTGAATGTATTTTAACAGCTGTTATCTACTAATTAGAACAGGAGCTGTATTGTAATTATAACAAGTAGTATAACATTTCTTAGGAAGTGATCATTCTAACTAGAGGGTTTTTTTAAACTAGGTTTCATCACATAAGTTGATTTTACTGAAGAAATTTTAAAAACCTATGCTTTATAAATAAGAGCTAGAGGCTGGTTTTTCACTGACCTTATTTTAAAAGAGATTGAATGGAGAAAAAAGAAAACAAAAACAGATTTAAGGTGTTTTTTAAAATAAGCAACTACTAAAGCTCACTTAAGATACACTTGTTCAAAGTCTTCTTGCCTTTTTTACTTATTGCTGAGATGAATTTATAAATTACAGTTACATAAAAGTTGTGTCTGTTTAAATTATACCACCTACAGGGAACTGTGCTGATACAAAGAAATATAATACCCTGTTTTTCTCCCAACAGAAACTTATGAAGATTTTGAAACAAGAGTCATTGAGGTAAGCAATATAAATCTTTTCAAGGACTTTAGATGATTTGATGATTATTTATATTGAGCTTGCAATTATTTAACCAGGCTTTGCTGAGTCAGTCTTCTATTAGTTTGTTATTCTGTTTCAACTGCATGACATAAGCTGTCATGCTTTTCACTGGAGCCTTATCTTCTCTGTTGGGCAAATATCTAATTCAAAAGTGCTTTTGAATAACTCTGAACTGGCAAATGCCTGCAGGTAAGGTTTTAAGAGTCCACATACAACCATAATAGGGAACCTAGTAAAGTGTTAGGGTTATTTCTTACACAGAAATACAAATAGGAAATTGTGTAACTCAACTGGTGTTTTCTTTGTCTCTGGCTTTTAGTAAATAAGATCTAATATATACTGTAGATCCTGCTATCTTTATTTTGCAAGTAATAAGGTTGTCTCCCATGTGCTTATCTAGTTAATTTAATCCTGGTTGGACATTACAGGATTATTCTCTGACTAGGACTTCTTGATGGAGGTGTGGAATATTTTTCAAGAACAGTATATGTGCTGAAATGCATTGTGCATACTCTGGGTATTTAAAGAAATCAGTGAATTACCTTAGAATAATTTTGTTATGGTAAGTTAAGAAGCTACAGAGATTGAAAAATATTTAATCTCTTACATTTTATGATGCTGTCACTTTTTTCAAACGTGCAGTAACTTTCCAGTGTCTAACTGGTTGTATGCAATCCCTTGGTTGGTGTGAAGTGGTATTAGCTGACTACTAAATCCATGTCACTCAAGATATTTGCTGGCTTCAAGCTAAAGGGTGAAAACCTTAATGCCACCGAAGAAGTTCTTTAGGAACCCAAACTCTGAATTATTTCAACAGAAACACCACTCACTATGTGGTCAGAGAAAATAGTTCAAATATAATAAAGTTGGCTTTTGCTTTGAAAACAAGTTAATCCATTGGAAGTCACACTTTACTGGTGAAATGTAAAGTCCTAGTCATGCAGATATGTGGAGCCATGTTACCTCTCTATAGAAGAGCCATTACTGAAGAAGGCAACTTGCAACTGGTTCCAGAGCAGACTGTTAACAATCAGTGTTACACACACTCACACAGTCACAAGGTTGTATGCTTCCCATTTATCTTATTATTTTCTTTTATTTTGAATACATAAGGTGCTATGGAAACCATATAACTAGTGTAAGTATTGTTGAGGGGAATCATGACTTCAGAAATAAATTGATTTCTTGTGATTCATTTGCTCCCAGTCGAGAATGAAATGATGCACAGCATCCAGAAAGGGAGCAGCTCTGGAAGTGAGAACAATCATCTTCTCTCTGTCCTTGCATGTGCCCTTCTCTTCCATTCAAGTCATGATTTTAGTGTGGTAGTAGTGGCAAAGTGTCCAGCTTTGTGTCCAGAAGTTTGGTTTTTAAACTGAAGTCTCAAGCTTATTTATTTAAATACCTGTTGTGTTACAAGGTTGTGATATTTGTAAAAATGGTTGATCCACTAGAAAGCAAAACCCTCTATGGGGTGGCAAGTTGACCTCTTCCAGCTGAGGGCATCAGAAAGCCCCCACATAAGATTTTGCCAAATCTTTCTTGTTCCTAAGTATTGATCTTATTGGTGGAGGAGGACAGGGCTGGGAGAAGTTCAGTGTTGCTTGCAGCGCTTCTTGCCGGGTTGAGCTCGTAGAGCCACGTTAAACTCCTCGTGTCCTGAAGCTCACCTCAGCAGTCTGTGGAGCTCCATGAAGCAGAAGCTGTGCCTGTGACTCTTCAGGCTGGCTGCAGGCAGGAGGAAGGCGTCCTTGCAGAGCATTCTTCAGAGGTGATGATGTGAGAGTGCTGCCATGGAAAAATCTGACCCTCTAGTAACAGCCACTGAACTCTCACAGACTAAATGAATTCCTAAGGACTTTTTGTAAAAAAAAATGTATAGTGCTTTGATAAACCTCTGGTGCATAAATAACCCACTAGCTTTGTGTGTAAGGTAACTAGAATCAAGGGACAATAGGGATCATTGAGTCCAACTCTCTGCTCCTCACAGGACTACCTAAAACTAAATCAGATGACTAAGAGTGGCATCCAGATGCTCCTTGAATTCTGTATGTATAACCAGGATTTACCCCATCCCAGGTGCAGAATCTGTCACTTGCTTTTTTTAAATTTTGTGTGAAGGTCTCTTTACCCTTGAGGGAGTCCACACTCCTAATTTAGTATCATTGGCAAACTTACTTAATGTCCATTCAGGTCCTGCATTGAAATGTTACAGAAAAAATGTTGAAGAGTGCTGACCCTAAAATTGAGCCCACTAATGACTGGTTGCCAGTCTGCTTAATTCCACTTCCTGTAACTCTTGGAGCCTCACTTGTCAGCCAGTTGCTCCCCCAACATATTATGGACATGTCTAGCTGTATGCTGGACAGTTTGTACAGGATACTGTGAGAGACAATTTCAAAAGCCTGGCTAAAATCCAGAAAAACTCCACATATGCTAGTTTCTCTTCAGCAGCTAGAGGGGAGACCTTGTCATAAAAGGAATTAAGTTAGTTAAATAGGACTTTCCCCTTGTGAACTCCTGTTATCTATAGAATAAGAATCATTTAGGTTGGAAAAAAACTATGACTAATTACATAAACTTGTCAATTCAGAACACTCTCCCATTGTTTACTTACCTACAGATGAAGTTGCTATTAGATTCATTTCCCTTTCAGGATTATCATCAGAACCTTCATTTGCAATTAATATTTAACTACTTTATTATTGAAAACCTATACTAGCCCAGCTACTGCTTTGAAAAAAGAGACTACTCTCATTTCTAACCTTGACCTGAGAGCCAAGGTATAAACCTGAGTCAATACACATTCTGTGATAGATGCACATCAGGTCTCTTTGCTTCATATGGGTGTTGGCACCCTTTTATCAGTATAAAATAAAGGGACTGTTCATTGAGTTGTTATGCAGTTCTGAATAGGTAGAGATTGCTATTCATCACTTTACTCTTCTCATTACTACAGCTTTGCTTACCAAACAAGCCTGTGAAACATTGTCTGTATTTTTAGCCAGTATTATGTTGTACCTGTGTCCAGATGAGGTATTTGTTCCAAAGCATCTGTGTTTGAGTTTCTGTTTAGTTTCACTCACAGCATATCATCTTCTGTTCCACTACCAAAGTTCACTTCTACTGTTGGAACAGCTGGTTTCCCTTCATGCAAATCCTTTTTAAATCCTTTGTCTGACAAAACTGGCAAGGAATAACATGGTCTTAATTAGTAGGATACACTTGAGAACAGTTATTCTGTCTCAAAATTTTGCATCGTGGTCATAGTAAATCTCATATTCAGATTTTAATCTCTTTGAGACAGAAACTTTCTTCTGCACTGTATTATCCCTAAAGCAAGCTGTAAATGCTAAACATCGATTTTAATGCCAGACCTTATGTCTGATTGCATTTTTCTTGGAACATGACCAAACATCTCCTTTTTTGGGACAGGAAAAAGTGAACCAATCCCTTGACATTAAAATCAGAGCTGCTGCCTAAAGAACTTTGAAATCAAATGTTTATTTGATTTGGAGAGAAAGGGAAAGGTTGCCCTTTAAATGGGATTAGAGTCAAAGAGAAAGTGAGATGGCTATGTCCCAGACCAGAACAGGACCAAATTTATAGAGCAAAGAGTCCCTTTGTCTGCAGTTTTGCAAGGTTCATTGCAACACAAGATTTAGGAGTAGGATGTCAGGTGTACAAAAGACCTTAAAGCCACACCAGTTTCTTTCAATCACTGTCAGTTTTGAGGGGGGGGGGAAAAAGATACTTCCAGTTAGGGAAATAAGTTGTTTTCACCAACCTTTAAGCATTTTAGCATTGTATTTGATGTGATAATAGAAGTATCCATTGTCTTAACTGAAATACATGTGCCCAGGCTAGGTAAGATTTTGCTAGAATTAAAATAAAATAGCTTCTAAATGGCCTTGAGTAACTAATAAATACTGTGTACAAGATGCAAGAGTAAGAATAAAGTTAATATGAGAGCAACATTCATTTCTTTTAAACTGTGTACCAACATAACCTGTTGGAAAGTGAGTTTCTTTAAGTATGGGAGAGAAGGGTTATGAGAGGCACTTCCTTAAACAGAGTAGCTTGATCTACAACAGCAAGTCAGAGGTTGAGTTGACTGACAGCTCTACTTCAGAAAAGCCTCTGAAGGTTCTCTCCTGTCCTGACAAATGAGCAAACAGGCTTCTTTCTTGATCACCTTCCTGCATTTTGCTGTGACGACCATCAGCTGGGAATCTATCCAGTGGCTGAATGATTTCTAGATTAATTCTGTGTATCAAAGTCCTTTCTTGCTGCAGAGGTTTTGACTGCCTTCTGAGACACAGAAAACAATGATGGTGTGTTGCAGCATCAGACTGGGTAATTAAAAGTCATGAGTTGGTTTATATGTTTTAAAAAACTCTCAGAAAGGGAAACGAATAAGCTGTTTTATGTGTCTGCTGTGATAAGGATAAGAAGCAATGGATTTCAGTACTGAGTAAGGGAAATGTAGACATGAAAAATGAGTTGCAAATGAATAGTTGAATACCAGAATGGATTGTCCGGGAGTATATGGCATGTCATGTTAGATAAATATGTCAAGAGGTGTTGTGGAGGCAAAATAGTAACCTTCTAACCCGTTTTCCTGTGATTCTTTAAGACTTTTTCAGGTGCATTTCATTTAACTTTTAGACATCTTCATACATTTCACTTTATTTTACTTTAGAAGTAGCATAATTATTAAGATTAGGACAGATTTATCTTGAAAGCACTCAGCTACCAAGGAGTATTCATCTGACACTATCATGAGGTGACAGTAGATCTGTACTTTTCTCAGTGTATGTGATGAGAGAGGGGTGTTTTCCTCCCTGACAGCAGCTGAGAGTAGTCTGTAATCTAGTCCATATATATATCTGCAGCAGTTGAATTGTTCTCTTTCTGTGTCAAATGCATTTTAAAACTGTGCTGTCCTATTGGAACTT